TGTACTAAACTAATCAAATTATATTTTACCCAGAAGGTAGATTCCTCCTCCAATTTAAAGAACAAAAAATGTTTAAATTACACATGGCCCCAATAAACACAGTTTTACGGTAATGTCAATATATTTAATTGACATATTCACCATTTTGATACAATGTGACATATAGATGAATACCTGTCCAGTGATACTTAATAACATGCAGCTTCATGTATCCTGTGCTGGAAAACAGTTTTTTACACTAATGCAGAATAATGGTTTTTAAGCAGTATCAGATGGTTATACTGGATATACATTTGGGGCTTTAGTGTTTAAACTCTTGTGACCCAGGGCACACCAGTTTAATTACAATGAAGAGAACCGCTATTGCACCTTTTAGCTGACACCCAAGTGGACTGCCCAGGACTGCCATACATTTTATCCTCCTTTTATAACAAATAAGAAAGGTACTCAACCTGAATACTTCAATCTGAGATCCAGCAGTAAAAAGTAACAGTTGAGTAACAGCTTAAAACTATAAGGTACGTCACATTGATGGATTGATTTTACGCGTTGGTACAGAGCCGTACATTAAAAGGCAAGGAAACGTAATGACTTGTAAGCATTCAACCATCCAGTCCCGCCTGCTGCCAGGGTCTAATAATGATTTATAGTTTATGCGTATCAGGTATTATCGCTCTTGTTCAAACAGCTATTTCCAGCTGTGGTCTCTAGGCCGGCCATCACAGAAAAGCACTTCAGAAGGTGGGAAATATCACAGGGAGCCTCTTATTCTCCTGTTCTCTCCCTTACTGGTCACATACACCTCTATCTGCTTATGTGTCTGATCGATCAGACAACTTACTGATCTATAGCCGCCGTTCAAATGCCCAGCCTCACCCTTTCAAGCAGCACGCAAACCGAAAATGAAAATGAAAGCTGGCCAACAGCATGGCCAATCGATGGGAAAGCCTTGTCAAAACCGAGCCCCAGAGAATCTCACAGCACAACGGATATCACATGATACACAGCGGTATAGAGCTCGAAGTACAGTGGTGTGCGGCATGCACTGAGCCATGCAGCTCAATGTCACGTCACGTGACCTGTGGTGCACCATGTGACACATTCTGCGACATGTAGTGAGTAATTCCATGTGACAGCAGCCATGTAAGGCAAGTGTGCAATGAAGCTCACATTACAGCGTCTCCAAACCATTCTTAACCCCAAAAGGGTGCTTCAATGACACTGTTACACAGCAGTTTAGAATGAAAGTGGCGTTTAACAAACTTGTTAATAGTATAAGCCGACTATTCACAAGAATGAAAGCAACATTTACTTTCTTACCCATTCAGCTGCTTAATGCATAAATTCTCATTGAAGTTCTCACAGCAGAATTGCCTTATCTTGCTAGAACAACACTCTCTAAAGAAGCAAATAGCACATGAGTATTAACTACCTCTCCTTAGAACATAGACACTGAGGTGAGAAACACTCAAAGGATGCTACATTGCTAAATGCTAACATGGCTGATTAACCTTAATGTAAAACATCTATAGTAAATATTTCCCCAGCATACAGCAGTCCCTAGGTTCTTTATCGTGACAGTCCTGAAGTACACATGAGTCTCAAGACCACAGGCCATATAAGTTATAAGCAAGCTCTTGACAGATTCTCATTTCAAGAATGGCCAGCCATGCTTTCATGGGAACACAGCATCATCCAAATCAACGGAGGGCAAAAGAGAGAGCAAGAGAAACAAAGTGAAAAAAAGAGCAATATACATTCTGACTATTAAGCTTTTGCTGCATGTGATCATTCCCAGACCGGTTATATCAGAGGTCAAGTGGATCAGTTTGTGTTGTAATGAAATGATCTTAAATTGGCTTTGTTCAATTTGGCTTACTGAGGTTTGCAGCAAACCTAATTCTGCAGTGGATGAAAATGGCAATACCAATGTACCTCTATCAGTTAGCATAACATTTATATAGACATTTACCCAAATTATCCAACACTGCAGTCTACATGTATATTTTGACTCTCCTACTATGATTTTAGGCAGAACGGATTAGTTACCCCAACTCATTAGTAAAAAATAATGTTTGTGAAGATGTTGGGAGTTAAAGCAGAAAATTGTCGCGCGACCTGTATGTAAAGGATTTAGCATTTATACGGGCAATCTACTACGCGGGTAATCCATCCTGTTTGTCATTCGCACTCAGTGGTACAATGGTGTTCTCTGAATTTAAAGAAGTTGATCCGGCACTCAGGCAGCCTCATAAAAATCACGAAACAGAACTATATATAGAAAAAAAAATGTGTGCCAGAAAGTGAATCCCTACTGCAGGAGACTCATGTCTCAGACACTAAACTGTTCTTTGATGAAAATGAACATAATCCAAAGAATTCAGGAGCTCAAAAAGACCATGACAAAATAAGTACAATGTCTACACATTACTGACAAGAACATTATTTGGAAAACATTTTCATAGGATCCTTTGTCACAGAGACTTTTATACTAGACTCAAAAATCCTTGGCAGCGAGTTTAGTGATAAGTGCACTCTGCTGAGCTTCAAACAGCATCTGCAATCTACAGCAAGAGCGTCAACCACACCAAGGTGTCAGAAGAAAAACCAACAATGAGCCTCAATAGTGGCAACAATCATCACCCACTCTGCAATCAAAGCCATCCCCTTCAGCAGAGATGACAGCTGTTCTATTACCATTATCTGATAGCAGAAATGAAGTGTGTGCGTGTGTGTTTGGGTGGGGGGACGGGGGTTAGACTGGAGCTGATCCCCAGCTAGCGTTGCTCATGAAGCTGCCGGAAGCTCACGCTACCTTCTTCCCCAACAGTCCCACTGCTTATTTTCAGCCCTTGACCTGCCCATGATTATCAAAAAGCGGAGAGAACAGGGAGGGGGCTGATTTTTGGGAGAACAGCTGCCTTGAGGGCCAGTACCAGCCCCGGGGGGGAGGGGGGCAAGTAATCTCACTCCGTGGCTGCCTTTCTCCTGGCAGACCGCTGATGACGAGCACCCAACTCAATTAAACCCTCAGATGCCCCATGGGACCGGACTGAGTAACCACCATTACGCTTACAACCCTTCAGAATGCAGGTAGTACAGCCCCATGATACAGCCCAAGTGACTAGGAAATACAGGAGAAAGGTGATGAAGTGCTGCAATTTGCAGGTTCAGTTTCATATCCAAAAAAAGGTTTCTTCTTGTACCCTAGTGAATAAGTTTAATTCAAATAGCTAGTAATAAAATGTCAAGCTGTATAAAGTTTGCATTGCTTTAGATAAAAGTATCCACTTAATAAATAAGTTAAAGTTCATTTTTAAAATTATATTTTTTATCAAACTATATAGTTCAATCCTCACACAATTGAGGCAACAGGCAAGATACATCTTCAAAACCTCCACTTAAGAAAAACTGCTTAACCTGCAGCTTTTTCATCCATTGTGTAAGAATACACAAACTATTGGCCGTTAGTTAAATGCTTGTCTTGCAAAGGACTTCATAAAAATAGTTCACTGACCTCACTGTCCAAACTACCCCAGACAAACATTATGTCTCCGAGAGTTTGCGCAGACGGCGGAACTGCACTAAACTGGCTGCAAAGCAGTCAATGTGGTATCATGGATCTGATTAATGCTGCTGCAAGAGGGAGAAAGGCTTCTGAAGACAATTATCTACAACAAATCTAATAGCTTTAGTGCCAGTGTCTGAACCTTGGGGGGGAGAAAACATTCCACAACGGTTCAAACAGAACTAGCATCTTATGGCTTTTCTTGACTTCAGTTCCCTTTGGTCTTGCAAAAGCAAACCTATGAACTGCAATCTATATTGGCTCCTTGTCACCTGGCACTCATTCAAACATTGCTTTTGATTAATAGCCGCCTTGTTTATCAGAAAGACCTCTATACTGCCCCTCTTGGGCTTCCAACCCCCTCCCCCCCCCCCCACCTCAGTCCTTCTCAATGTCTTTGACCCCCGACATTCAGAAAACAATGACGGCAAGGAGGGATGGGGGGGGGGATGTGGCACGTGCAGCTAACGTGATTGGACTTCCAAAGGTTGCGTGAAAGCACACCTTATAAGGCAGGAGGGTTCTTAGGGTGATGCTGAGCCCTCATTAAAGGCAGAGAGCAGGAGAGAGATGGATAAACCAGCAGAGATAACAGGGGAGAGAAAGACAAAAACATAGCATGAGAAAGAGCCAGGAGGAGAGAAGTCAGAAGATTGGGGGGGGGGGGCTGGCGGAAAACACAGCCAACATACGACTCTCACTGGAGACGAGCTTCAGAGGCGGACTTTAGAACCTCATATTTTAACACACCACAGCTCTCATCCTCTTTCAACTATTTTCCCTCCAATCCAGAGACTTGAAGACACAGTTCTGCTAAGGTCTGTCTGTGTGGCACAGTCAGGCAGGTTCCGGCTGCTGTCGGAACTGGTGAAGCCCACATCGTGTATGCTTCCCAAAATAATCTGTCAGAGAAATCCACAAGGCTCACGAGATCCCAAACAGAAACCGCTGGGAGGAAATTCTGACTTCCCACATCCGTAGAGATAAGGTAATTTTGATCAAGGTTACCCGATCCATCTGTCATCAGCAGTGGATGTCAGACTGCTGCTAAGCGTCGTTTCTTTTCCCCATGCTCGTGCATGCACACTTCATAAACAAGCTATGATTAAAGTTTAATTCCCACAGTAATCAGTGGGAAACATACCGCTACAAGTCAGTAAGAACGTCTGACCCGGCGTTGCCAATCAAAAGACTTGAAACCACTTAAAATCCACTTCATCTATACTTGAGTGAACAACGTAAAGGCAATTAATTCAAACATATTAATGTCCTTGTCCTGATGTCAGTCGCTCTTAGTTTTTCTCTGTTGCATCTACGATATTTCTAAATTTGGCGTAAAAAGCCCGTATTAATGTAGTCAGGGTACCCTCTATAAGAATTGTTCTACTATAAAAAATTATAACAATAAGCAAAACGTGTCCCGGTAACTCACATCTCGGAACTTGTTCCAGTATCTGTCCTTGTCGTACTGAGACACGGTGCTGAGCCATTTGTCATTGTCCAGGGAATGTCCATTGTTGTTATTTCTGCCGATGGTTTCCGCACGCTTGCTCTCTACGTGCAGAAGCACGGCCGAAAAGCCCAGCAGGCACAACAGCATCGTCTGAAAGAAAGCGCGAGTGACATTGGCAGTGAGATGAATTAAGGACATGGGAGAAACCCACTGGCCTAATGCGCAACAAACTATTACAATTATGTCGGTATCAGGGCAAGAATACGATTCTGAACGTGCACACACAGAAATGTTTCAAGATCGTTTTGTATAATCGCATACTTAGACACGTTTTGCATATTGCCTAGCATCTGACGAATTACCTAAACTGACCGATCACTGTATACAACTAACTGGGTGCGTTTGTGTCGTTATAAGAATCATTAACACAGTAAAATAATTTCATGTCTTTTCCCCGACATACCCTGTGATTGAATCTATATAGATAAATATTGCCTCGACTTACTGCACTAGAATGTTAATAACATTAACAATATAAATAAGAAATTCAGCTCTTGTAAATACGCAACTAAGAAGCCTCATCAGAATTACCTTCTTAGAGTGCACTGCTCCCCAGATCCGGCTCGTTTCGATTACCTGTACCGCTCCCTTCTCCGTGCACTGCTTAAAAGACGAAACCTGAGTCACTTACTTCGCGAGGTTGTGTCCGGTTCTTCTAGGGGGGGGGTAAATGCACCAAATCTCAATTTTCACTATGACCGTTCGCCTTATTTCGTACTGAAGGGTAAAGAAAGTATCCAAGCGACACGCGCCACCTCCCAGCCCCGCCTCGGAACTGACTCGCGCTGTAGAGCAGCAGGATTGAGCAGCCGAACCAGTGACTCTCCTCCCCTCCGGTAAGTTGTCGGTGGTGACTCCTCCCCTTGGTCAATTGTCGTTGATGACTCCTCCCCTTGGCAATTACGCGATGCAGACTCCGCCCCCGAAGAGCTCCCGATTCTTTCCCCTCAGCTGAGGACCATTCGGTGGCAGGTGTGATTGATGGCGGCGAAGGGATCGCTGCATTCACGGAGGAATTAACAACCCATCTGCCAAGTCCATACGTTCGATAACGCGCCACACCCTCAGATAATACGCTTGTTATCCTCATCCTGAAATAAGATAGGGCTAAACTTAAAATGTGGGTCATGTGGAAATGATCTATGCATGTATATTCAGTGTATGTGACATAGTATAGTGTATATGATAAAGAGATAAATAGCAATGGTTCTAAAAAAAACAAACAGAATCAACAGTCGATTCATCTGGTCTGTCTGGTAACGAACAATAGTAATACAAGTCTTCGTGCTCCATCAAGAGGAATATAAAGTTTCGTTTTTTTAACATTTTGAAAAAAAAATGTCATTGTGTTCTTCACGACGTACTGAATGCTCAATACGTAGATAGCCAGCGTAATGTAGCCCGTGTTGAGTAATATCACACCAACCCGTTGATTATCTTGATCAGAAGTGGCAATTTGATTGTATTTGGCATGAAGCAGAAAATACTGATAAGCAATTACAATCAGCAGTTTAGCATAGGTCTGAATGTATGGTGTGTGAGCGACGAAGGACTGTTCATATGTCACTGGAGCAGGGATCGGGCGCGGGCGCTGTCCGTTCAGCACCACGTGTACGCAGGCACAGTGCAGCGTAAAGGTTATCTGCTTTAGTCCTTGTAATTTATAGACATGTCTTGGCGCAGGGAAAAAAAAATAAATGGTCCATCAATACATTTATTGAATATAACATTACAAAGAGATTTTTTAATTCGGCAAAATCAAACAGAATAACACCGCGCATTAATGAATTTAGACGGTGTGCCTCGTCGATGGAAATATGCTTTGGCTGAACTGTTTTAAGTTTCTCTGCGCAACATCCCTGCACCAGGTTGTATTTGTCTAGACTGAGTGAAGCGGACGTAGCAACTGCTGGTCCCAAAGGCAACATTCATGCGGTATCATATAAAGCAGATGAAGCACTTAGACCGCGCTTTATGAGGGCCACCTGTGCTCTGATAGACGGTGGCAGCGCAAGGCCATCAATGCTACTGGAAGCGGATAGGCGTTCTGCTCCACTGTATTTAATCTTTACAGCAGGAGCCGACAGCTGTTCCGTCTCGTAACCCACCAAAAGAAGACTGATACAATTGTAATTAGCAATCGATTTATAAAGCCAGTGGTAATTACTGACCAAGAGCTTTTTTTTCCTCTCAATTAAGTAAACGCCATTTGAACTTACCCAGGCTGATGATGATATAAATGTCTGACAATGTGAATATCATTTTATATGTGATGTTATAAACTTTGTAATTCATTGCAGAATGTTCGAATTTCTCAAGCATGTAGGCCTATGATTTTCCAGTTTGACGCAGTGATCAAAATACTGCCTCTTTGTTTGGAAACCTTTCGAGTTGCCTACTACCAGGTTCGATCCCAACACGATGTAAGGTAATATTTGGTTCGTTAGTCTTGTATACTTTGCCTATAATTTATAATAAATAACGTATTATTTTGGGTTTCGTCATTCCAAATATCTTCCTGAAGCGTAGCGAGTGCATGATGATGTGTGAGCCCTGTGATGCAGCTTATAATTTCGCACCAAATCCCTTTGCGTTTTATCAGCATCCGCAAAACGGAAAACTCATGTTTCATATAATTTTCACTGTATGAGTAATCGTTACGTACGAAATTTAAAATCTTAAATGAACGAAAATAAATGGACGAATAAATACAGTAATTAAAGTAGGTCTACACTATTGCAGTTTTATTCTTGTTGCAGTAAGTATAACTAATTCCGCAAGCCAAACTTAATTACCCAAATATTATAAATAAATGAAACCTTCAATGATTGAAACATCCGCTATTGAAGCAATTGGTACTACTGTGGTTGTAGCTGATAATTTTAATTGGAAGTTTTAGATGTGCACTGGGGTGAACCAAAACAAAATTGCCAGTGGTATATATTTCCACTCTTTCCAGAGTTTAAATATTAAAATGCATTTATTTGCTAATTAATTCCCTTATTTGCGTATTTTACAAATATGCAAACGTAATGTAAGCAAATTTATTATTAGGTCGTAGTCAGACTTTGTATGACACTACGACTTTCTCTAAGGACGAAATTTAATTAAAGATTACGTGGAGGAAGAAAAAACGAAAAGAATAAACGTCCATTTATAAGAACTGGAGATGGCAATAACGCCTTCTAGCGGTGAAAATGGTTTTAAAATCCAGGAGAATTTTGAGATCCTATTATTTCGACTTCATTTAGAAGTTTTGCACAGTCGACAGATAGGCTAATTAAAGTAGACTGCGCTAATCGTGACACTAAACAATATTTACTAGATCAAATTTTGGCAGACGGGATGCATCTAAACTGTTTTTTAAGAAAAAGTAAATAAAATCAGATGCTGCTTCGGTAAAGACACAAAAATATTTTAACATATTCCGTAGAAATCAATTTCTCATTTACATAGCGGAGGAGTCGGTAGGCTAGTACTCCGTGATTGGATAAATGTTTTGGAAGGTTATACTCTGAAGGATAGCGATTTACCCTGATTTTCAGTGTGGACTGTTGACGCATTGCGCACTGCATATGATCACCACATAGGTAAGATTTTGACCAAAAATTAAGCAATAAATATAAAACAAGTAATTGCTGAGCCTTTGAACTTGATAAAAACCGATATATTTTTATTCCTTTAATTTTAACTTTGGATATACAAAATATTTTTTAGAGTAGAATTCATCACCACCTTTTCAGATTGGTAGAAATGTACACAAAATGGATTTACATATATACCATGACTGGTCCTACCTATTCTCTTTATACTTCTAATATCTTTGAGTCTTAATGGAGGCAGGTTCAAACTGTACATCTAACTGGTCTGACTGACCCATGTCCCCCCAGCTAAGCCTCCTCCCTCCATCATTCTCAGTGAGTATTGACTGTTTTGTTTCAATCCTGGTCACACAAAGTGAATCTACCACCATTGCTTCTCTTTCCTTGAGCACCTGACCCAAGGATCACCTTCATAGTTAAGGCCAGCCCACTTTCTGCTCGGGTTCCTCCGGTGCTGTCAGAGGAATTAATTCATTAAGGCACAAAAGATGTGAGTAAAATGGGAATCATGCTTACGTGATTTGACTAAGTGGAGAAGAATGTATGTCTTTGTTAGGTGTGTATATTACTGTGCAGAAGCCTTCGGCCAGCAAAAAAAATATGTTTAAGTGTGTCAGCTTTGCCATTTAAAAACTAATATACCCAAATTATATATTATTATAACCAAAAACTCAACCACTAGCACCCCTTGGTTTGCTAATGAAGACCATATACTGTCAAAAAAAAGGATGCAGCCCTGGTACAGTTTTGTACTCCAAGGTACAAACAACATTAATGTACCCCCAATGGTACAAAAATGTTCCTCAGAGTCCATTTCTGTACCTTAAATTAGACTAAAAGGTACATTTACCTACAGCTAGGGTACAACTGGCAGAGCCTTGAGGATACTGCCCCAGGGACAATTTCATTCTCAAAGGTACAAATTGCTACTTTTTTTTCTGACAGTGCATGAATATAAAACAGGGAATGGCTGAGGTGCCCTAGAGCAGAGGTTTGGCTAGCAAAGTTCTTCTAGTCATTCAACAAGATGTCACTTTTTGGAGAAGAGAAGTAGGTTGTGTTAGTTTTTACTGTATTACAAATTTTCTGTATAAATTCTATATAGCAAGCATTTTTCTGAGCAAATAAATAATTATTGCCCTGACAAACATACTGTTTTTGGCCTAAGACTTTTTCACAGTTAATGTAGGAATAGCACATTGTCTCTGCACAGCACACACAAGTAGGATGTGTGTTTCAAGGATCCCTATCAGACCAGGCCCCTCCATATGCACAAGGAAGCATGCTATCAAGGCCACTTGTATCAAGACACAATACATATATCAGCATAATCAAGGAAAGAATCTGAGAAGAGCATTGGCCTTAATTTTGGTTGAGATATTTTTCCAGTTAGTCACCTCGTAATAAGTGATAAGTACCCACACATCCCAGTCCCACTCCTATAAAAAGTTCAGAATACATTTGAGCAAATTCTGACAATGGTATAAATGGGAAGTGTGCAGTGGATACCAAACGCCAGTGTTAGACAGGTGCATTATGGGTTACGATGGCTGTGGTGACCAAATTGCATAGCATAATGATGTAACCCAGGTGAAAAACAGAAGTTATTGTGACCCTGATCCCCAGTTGGATTTTGGGGAGTTGAAGGGGTGGACCGACAGCAGCAAGTTGGGGTGAAAACATCACCCTCACCAGCAGTTGTTCCGAGTAGCAACATCAGCATCCAAGATCCGCGGAAGGCGGCCACTGGCTCCACCCTCCAAGTAGGCTGACTTCACGACTGGTGGATCTGTGGTTTTCCACTTGCCGTTCTTCAGGTCTGAAGAGAGATAAGGAGCAGAAACACTCACCTCACAGTGCTGCTTGTATCTAAATAGCAGTTGGAAATGTGTGAAGACCAGTGGTGGAAAACATACTCAATTTTCATACTTAAACAAAAGTACTGATGCCACACCAAAGATTTACTCAAGTAAAAGTAAAAATCATCCAGTAAAAAATACCTAGTTTTAAAAGTACTTCAGTAAAAAATGTTAAAATCTATTGATCTTATAAAACCTATCCTTTTAAATTCACTCAAGACAGGTATGAATATAGCATTGTAAATTGTAACGCAGTGCAATAAGGAAAACTGAGTAGCAGAGAAACTTGGCGAGCTTGCTAATGCAGATCAGCGGAATGACTTTTTCATTCTGAGGAAAATGAAAGATTGATCTACGGGCTAG